TATATATATATATATATATATAAATGTAAATGTAAAAATGCTGATTTGTAATTTGTAGCTACTCTGGAAGAAATCCTGCTTTGGCTAACTAGCTGCAGCAGCATGTGACGTTTTTTCACCGCCTTTAAGGTTTTATTACAAATACATGCGACCTGGGCCTTAGTTGTCCGCTGTATGTAGTAGTAATAAAAACAGACACAAGCTTTCTTAAAATGCATAGACTGCCATAAAATAAGGTGCAAAGAACTTGCTCAAAATAAAAGACTCTTATTTACAATGTGCTGTAACTACTACACAATGTGCCAATTCACTTTTTTACAGAGATCCCTTCTGTAGTTGCTGGTGATACAACCCAACACGCATGAGTATGCAACTGCTTTTAACAAACCCTGATTCCAGTCAGTCTGAAGAAAAACAAAAAACAAAAACACACACGCATGAAATATATGCTATATATTGGCATTTCTTGACAAGTTAGTTGTGCCAAACATGTCCTGTCACGAAAAAGAAACCTCACAGCTTTCTTCCCTACAAATATGCATATAATAAATTCAAGCAAACCTTATATCCCTCTTAAAATCTCTGAAGAAATCTTAACAACTATTTAAGAATGTATCATTTCTTAATGCTAGGTCCATGCCCCTATTGTACAATATTGCATTTTATACTAAGATTGCATTCAGAAACTCAGACATAATCATCTGATGTCTGACTGGCTCCAAACAGGAACAATTATAATGAATTTGTGTAGCAAAAAACAAACAAACAAACAAAGAAAAATTAAAATTTGCTGTCTTCTGGTGTTAGTTTTGTTCATAATTATAGTTAAATTTGACTTTTTAAAGTTCAGTTGTGCAGTTCTATAAATAGGCCATAGTTGTTTAAGGATAAACTGCACTTCCTGACATTCTTGTCCCTACTGAGTCTCTGACCACACGCAAATCATCACAAGTCCTCGTCCATCTCAAGGCTGCTCCTGCGACTGCTGGTTTTAGAGGCACCCGGTGACAAAGGAGAAAACAGTGGCTCGCCAATCCTCTCTGGAGACAGAGTGCACCCGTCATCCATAAGTATGTCTCCCAAACCCATATCGGAGTAGAGGGCGGAGGCCGGGGGGTCATCGAGCTCAGCGAAGCTCAGGCTGCCCAGGTCCAGCGGACTACTTATGGTGAGTCCGGCGGGAGAGTCTGAGGAGGGTGGGGACAGGAAGGAGGCAGGCAAAGGTTGTCCAATTGCTGCCGGACCGAGGAGGTTCTGGTTGGAGGCTCCTCCTGTGTTGGGAGCCAGAGACTGGCTGCTCTGTGGAACTGTGGACTGCTGCTGGAGCAGAGAAGGGTCGGAGCTCAGAGCAGAGACGCTGTTGGAGTTTGAGAGTCCGTGAAGCCGTGCCTGCATTTCCAGTTCCTGAAAACAAGAACAGCATGTTTTCTAATCAGATGGCCAGAAATCACTCATGTCATTATTGCATAATCTATTGCACTCCTATACTGCATAGCTCCTTTTATGTTTTTGCATTGAAAAATTCATTCCACGTGTTAAACTTTACACCCAAAAAACTGTCTAAACAAGATGAAACACAGATGGAACAAAGCAAGTCTGAATTTTTGGTTGATCCAAATTTGCAATAAAGAAGAAAAATAAATAGTTGAGAACTAGATAAAGCAAACATAACATTTTGTGGATTTCACCTATTTTGTGCAAACTTTATGTCTGAGTAAACCAACAGGATGAGTGCAGACACTTCACAGACTTACTGTATGTATTACAGTAGTGACGACAGTTACACTGACATTTCTTCAAAGACCTTCTTTGTTTAGAAAAAATATGAGTGAAAAGACAACAACAGAGCAGGGCCAAGGACGTGGAAGTCACTACATTTATGAAGACAAACAGTTCACGCCCTGCTTACATTTCTGTCTACACCTAAACAGCAAAGGTGGACAAATGGCTTTTGATTTTCTTTGACTTTCAAGAAATTATGCACCATTGTTCCCCAGACACATCCATTCAGATCCATTCCTATTTAGACGCATTCTTAGTCTGGATGGCACTACCTTGGCCTCCTGTAACACTCTGAAGAATCGATTATTTTTGACCAAGAATGTTTTCTTTAACAAGAAAATTAAGAAAGCCTTCTTTTCTCTGCCGAGTAAATCGGAGGCATCCTTTTTCGGAGTGATGCTGAAATATTTGTTCATACATAAGCTTCTAAGATGCACTATTCTATTACTTATTATAAGGCTGTTCTAAAAGCTCCCTGAAAAGCCTTCAGAAGATGGAACTCAAGAGAGCATATATGTCCATACTAGATATTTGTTTTTAATGGCTGTAAAATCCACAGTTAGCAAGCCCTCGAAGATCAAGCCATATCATGACCTCACTGCAAACCCACCACATCAACCCAACAAAGCCATGACCGCAATCTGGTCATGGCAGATGTCTGCCCATTGTCAAGTCTGGTTCTGTTAGAGATCTCTTCCTGTTAAAATGGAGCTTTCTCATACAGCCTCATCCGATTGTCAGGATTCTCTCACTAATGTCTTCATCTTACAACAAAACACACTTTGAGATAACCATTCCTGTAAAACAGCGCTACATAAATAAAACCGAACTGAACACTGACCTGGATGCGTAACATTAAGGAGTGGTTGGCTTGCTCCAGCTTCTTCTGCCTCATCTCAACATCCTTGGCTCTCTGCTGCTCCTTCTGCAATTTCCTGATGTAGTCTACAGAAGCCTTGAGAATGGTACCTTTATTCCAGCGCATCTCTCTGTCATTGTTGCGATGTCAGTAAAGACAGGAAAGACAACAGAAGCAGAGGACAAGATCATGATTTATACACCGCATGTGTGGCCCCAAGGCATTAAAATTCAAACAGTGTAACTTCATGTGAGCAGTGGAAAATGAATATCCCACTTACGGGTCTGATGACTTCGGTATCAAAGCGCCCAACTCCTTTATGCGGTCATTGATGTTGAATCGACGCCTCCTCTCAACTGCAACCAACAAAGAGAGGAAGCAAAGGCACACGAGGTTACCTCTAACAATCAGCTGGTATTAAGCAGAAGTGTACGAATAAGTAAATAGGATGTTGTGATTCTGAATCTGCATTGCGGTCTATATTTTTATTGTAATCATATTCAAACAAGAAGTTAAAAAAAATGACCTCAAACAAAGGTTTGACTTACTGAGGTTATGATTGTCTTTCTTCTGCCTTTCTTTCATTATTGCTTTGGCATCTGAATCTGACAGACAAAATGTTAGCGTTCATGTTACGAAAAGCTAAACTGTTTATTAAAAAACAAATAAATAAATGAAACAGGACACGTGTTTATAAAAGGAAGTTACTATACCAGTAATTTCCCTTTTAATTTTTGGAAGATCAGCAGGGCAGGAGTTGCTGACAGTAAGAGTAGGCGCTGCCATTCCCGGGCTATGGTACACATCCAAGAGGTTTCCTGGGAGCTGCACAACAAACAACATGTTCCAATATAGGTCTTAAATAGTGCCTGACTACTCTGAAGCAAATGCTGCTGCTTTCATTTAGAGCAATCGGTTCTGTGAGTTCAAAATAGACTCAAAGCAGGTTTCTGTGGATCAGACAGATGCTATCAAAAAGAAATGGCTGCTACATAATAACAGCAAAGAAAAACCCCACCATTTATATTCTATTGCAAATCAAAGATGAAGACTACCCAGTGCCAATTCAAAAATCAGAAAAAGCCTTTTTACCTCAGTCAGCTGCTTTTTCTTGCCCTCCAAAATCATCACCATAATCCTCATTTTTTGCTTTGCGGTGAAATTTTGGAAACCTGTTTCTTCCCTGCAGATTACTTCTTGACCTGGCCGTGTACTTTTTATGACTTTGTCTCACTTCTCTATGTCTTGTATCCACTGATAGCTTTACCCTGCCCATGAAACACTTCTGTGACGAATGGTAACTGAGTGCTACAAGTGTATATTTGCTCTTACAACTTTCAGAATTCCACACATGAAAGAGACCGCCCATTCACAGAGCGTACTCACTTGGAGCTGTCTGCGTTATTCTGTTACTGCACTATTAAAGAAGAAGCTCTAAACTGGAGAGGAACCTTCAAAAAGGAAGTTCAGGAGAGAACAATAAATGCATAGTTCTTCATACCGTGCTAGGCAGCTGAAGACCTGAGTCTATCAACGTAATGATGTCGTCATTAAAACTGGATTCAAGGCTAATAATGTCATCGATCACATCGTCAATCTAGAAAAACAGACAATGAGACAAACGTGGCAGAAGGTAAATGGTGTGATAGTAATGAATATGTATTTACACTGTATAAAAACAATCCAGGTGGCAACACTAGACATCTGAGCCCAATGTGAGAGCTTTAAAGAGGCGTCATTTGGAAGACAGTGATGCGTGCGTGAGACGTGCTGGCACGGTTATTCTGCCGGTGCAGTATTTAACATCTTATTGTGACGAAAGGCCAACGAGAGTATGACAACAAAGAGCATGCACCCTCACAGTGGGACCTTCAGGCACATTGTTACAGAGCAAACACAAGCTAATTGAGCAAGAAGAGAGCAACATATATTCTACTGAAAAGGTTATGTAATCTGCTGTATCATCAAATGAAACTCGCACACAGGAAATTTAACTACTGGTATCAATGTTGGAATTCCCCTTACTTCTTCCTTGTTGGAGCCGATGTTGAGCAGCGCCATAGGACTATTAGGGGCGCTGCTGGCAGTAGGGGCCACTTCTGGGGCAGAACTGGACTGGGGGGCGGGGGACAGAGACAAGGTCTGAGGAATCGCCTTGTTTCCCAGAGTGGTGGAGAGGTACTGCTTCACCTGCTGCCTCTGTGCCTGCTGGATGTGGTACTTGGTGGGGTTCTCCAAATGGGTCTGCACCTGATCATTCAAACAGCTGTTAGGGGCTGGTGGACTGACACACACACACACACACACACACACACACACACACACACACACACACACACACACACACACACAGTGCTAAAAATTTAAAACAAAACAGGTCGCTCTTACTTTCAGCACCTCCACGGGCACCTGTGCTGGAGGGGGCCGGGCAGCATTAGGTGGCAGAGTGACAGAGATAGCTGGAGTCGAGTTGGTGGCCCGAAGCTGAGAGGCAGATGCCTGTTGTTGCTGAGCAAGAGCCTCGCGTCTCTCCTGCTCCTGGGCTTGTTCCCGCATCAGCTGCTGCCGCAGCAACACACGTGACGACATGGCTGAGACGGATCCAGGGATCTAGGGATGGACCTGTAGGACAGCATGCGATGTTATTACACCACGCATGCGATGTTATTACACCACTCAATCCACAATCAGAATCCTACACTTTAATATTCTGATGAGAATTCCAGATGTCACTGCCAGGTCTAAAATACATTTACATAGAAAATGCTTAGTTTGGTTTGAAATAATCTGAGTAATTAAGTTCCAAAGCCATCAGAAGTTTGTGATATGACCTGTAGAATTCAATACATAATTGTACAACTTAACAAAACTGTTTTCATTAAAAATGTTAACAAATTACTTTAAAATGCCAAACAAATCAACACCATTAGTAAGACTGCAACACCCCCGAAAGCTGTTGGTTTTCAATCAGTCATTTAAATACGTTAAAATACGTTAAGATCTTGAATTAGTAGTGGGACTGTTACTTAGTTACAATGGTACTTATACAAATCTAGTTTCTCTAATCTGCTGCCTTTAAAGCTTCTTCAAGCCCCGACTTCTTTATTCTCATTTTCACTTCCCCTTTTTTTAATATATACCCTCTGTTATGTCCGGGACAGTTGTATCTGTTACTCAGAGACACAGGAGACTCAAATAGATCTTGTTTCAACCATGCTCAGCAGTCCCAATGAGCATTACAAGGTTACTATCGCAACAGAATTATTTACGAATGTGAAGAATTGTGTAACTGTATCTCAGCCCATTTTTGCACAAAGATTTGTACATTTGTTAAGGGCTCTCCAAGTGCATGCTTAAAAGTGTACAGAAAACTGTTGAAGTGCATTTAAAGTATGTGTGTGCATATAAGTGCATATATAAATATTAATGGCTGAAAAGACAAAGTTTGGCCCAAGAACTGGAGACAACTTAAAAAGGCCAACTGGTCTGCTGCTTACATTTCTTTGTTGCACTTCAGCCACAGCAGATCTGCAAATATGTGTATCTGTTTACATCTCCAGCACCTTGTATTAGACCAAGTTGGCACTTATATATATATATTTACATAGATTAATACACCTTTTTTTGCACATCTGAATACTTCAGAATTATTATTTTTTAAACAAATGTAATTAAACATACATGGATTGATATTCTATTACACCACACTCACACAGATATTTTGCAGAAAATTCTGAAACCTTAGTAATTCCATACAAGAGAAGTGATTTCTCAGAAAAGGAAAAACATCAGCTGGGCGTTATGCCAAAAAGTGACCATCTGCCAAAAAATTTCCGATGTTTCTATGCATTTTTTATGTGTCATTTCTTTGTAAGGAGCTTTGAAAGAAAAGTGACTGGACTTCTTTAAATTTCTTGATGTTTCACCTCTCATCCGACAAGCTTCTTCAGTTCCAAGAGCAACTGGTGGAAAGTCCCAGATTTTTAAACCCTATTGGGAGTGTCCCAAGAGTGTTGTTAACCCACAATTGATCATGATGTCTATGCTTATATTAGTGAAATTACTGTAAACATGAGTGTTGGAGTGGGTGTATATATAAAAAAAGAAATTACCTCTTTTGCAAGTTACTTTATGAATTTGGCCACTTAAAATATGTTTGCAGAAACAGACACTTATTCTGATGAAAATTAACAGAAATATTAAGTAAGTAAAGTTCTATTTATATAGCACCTTTCTAGATAAAAGATCACAAAGTGCTTCAAACAGGGATGACAAAGTATAAAACAAAAACAGACAAAAATTAACAAAATGTCATTCTAAAAAAAAAATTTAATTAAAAAATGTTATGTTATATTGTTGCTTTTTTGATACCCTCTGGCCCAGATCACTCTTTAAAAAGATATTTTTTAATGGCAGTGAGAGTGTTTAGCTAGATAGATAAATTATATATAAAAATCACTTTGTCAAAAACGGATTGGATTGCAGCTTCTACCTGGTGATGGGGATGTTGTTTGTGGCTCAAAGTTAAGAATATATCTCATATATATTAACATAAATATATATATAACATATGTTTCATAGATTATAGGCCAACATGTCATTTACAGCAGTTTAAATACGGGCATTTTTCGGCAAATGCAGGTGTTGTGCCAAAAAGTGATTGTCTACCAAAAACTGATTTCCGGTATTTGCCAAAAATTGATTGCTCGTATTTAAACTGCTATAAGTAACTTGTTGGGCTATAATATATGAAACATATGTCAAATGCATCCCTCATGGATGACATAAAGTCATCTTGAGCCACAAACAACATTCGTGTAACAAGGTAGAAGCCACGATCAGTTTTTTGGCAGTGACTTTTATATAATCTTTATTTTTGCAGTTAAAAACAATCTCATTAACATTAAAAATGTCTTTTGTAAGAGTAAGTTGGCCAAGAGGACAGCAGAAATGGCAGCAAATATTACAATAGTTCTGTAAAAATATTTTAAGTAGGGATAAAGGACCGGATTGGTTATAATGTAAGTACAATAACACAGAGTTGTGAAGATACTTGAAAAACTGATAATTTTTTAATTCTATATATAACCCCTTTGTAAACCCTGTTCACCGAAGTCTATTTACGAACATACGTAAAGATATTACACATAAAAAAAAATACACGGAAACATTGGAAATCAGTTTTTGGCAGACAATCACTTTTAGGCAGACGAACACCAAAGGGAGTTGGTGTCACTTTAAGCCATTGAACTGTAACAGTTCGACAGTTTTTATCTTGTCTGCGTGTCATTACTCACTGACAAGATAAAAACACCACAGATGGGGAAAAAAATACCCGTGATCATCCTTTGTCTATTTTCTGCGAGCGTAGTGATTAGTTTAAGATTGCATTGTTGCTTGAAGTGTGTCGATAATTTGGTCGAGGCAGACTGAGTACAGACCCCGCCTACTCGCCGCACGGCAGGCGTACTTTTGTACTGTTTAGTTTGTACTGCTGCTCATTCCTGTGCAATATCCCATCTGCCCGCCCCCCACATTAAGATTTTCTTTATTTAATCACTAGTGTGTACATACATTTATATATATATATATTTAGTCAGTTAACTGAAAATATTTTTCTTTTACTGCATCTTTTTAATATTTTGCTCTTACTATTTTTCTATTTATTTTTTATTATTTTATTTTATTTTTTTCTACTGTACCATTCTGCTGAGTGACTGTCTTCTGCTCGTCAAATACATTTCATTGCGATGTTGACCCTGTGCTAACTTGCATATGACAAATACAACTGAAAACTGAAACTGAAATAGTGGTCGCCTACCTTCTTAACAGAGATTCCCCCCTGACAACATAAAAGATCCAATTCAGTTTTAACAACATCATTTAAATGGGTTAACTCTGGAACCATTTAGACAGACAGTTGGGAGGTTGCTGTTTACTTTACACATTTTTCGTAATTTCTATTTTTGGCAAGCTAGGTTCTATCGTCATGAATTGGCGGTGTTCGTTTGACAGCTCAGTGCTGCTAACGGGCCCAGATCAACGTTATGTGAGGACAAGCAATTCAAGCTAGAATTTCCATCGTATACTATTTACTTTGAAGCTATCCAGTGATAGTCCACTTGTTAGAAGGTTGCTATTTTAGCTGAAGGCAGTGCTATTTCAGTACTCGTACGACCCCTCGACGGCCAAGTAAAAATAGGAAGTTGAATCTGAGCTAGCTAGCCCTCATTGCGACAAGCTAACGCTACACAGCTACATACCTTATTTCAGATTAAAGATACGTACTATCTGATTAGTGTAAGAGGAGTTACAGCCACACATCCACTGAGTCCTTCGCTTTCTTTGCCATTTCTTCAGATCCGTGAAAACTAACTTGATAGTCACTAGCCTCCGCTCTACCGTTGTTTACCTCAGGCCGACGGCCTTACGTCATCTTACGCAACTTACCCGGAACTTGTTAATTTTAAAGTTGTATTTTCAAAACGATATCTTGAATAAAGTGTCCTCTTATAGTATTGAAGTGCTGCTATAATTCATAAATGTGACACATTTTAATATATGTTAGTCTGTAACAATAGTTACGCAGAGGTTAGCTATTCAAAAAAGTAAAGAAGTAATTCTTAGTATAAGTATTACATCAATAATATTACAACTATTCAAATCGCAATATTTATAATACCCGGTGTCTGAACAGGAATATAATCTACCAGGGACGACGTAAAAAAACAAAAAAAAAACAAACAAAGAAAAAAAAGAAAAAAAAAAAACTTAGTTTCAAAGAAAGTATTAAGGGCCTCAGAAACAATTTTTCTCAGGTTCACTGCTGCACATGTTTAACCCAACAACAATAATAGCCATGTCAAAGAAAGACAAACCACCAAAATGGATTCATTAAATTCATCATTTTATTTTGGTAATATTTTAGTCTGAAAATGAGAAGTCCATTGCAGATGTCAATGTGTCCGAGAGTTTGGTGGCAAGTTTGTCTGCAGAGCAAAGAAAAAGAACCCATAAAGCATTAGGGCAAAATCTAGATCATTTCTATAATAAATTTTAAAAACAAAAATGCTAAAAGTGTCACAAATCACATACAAGCAACCTTTTGGACAAAAACTGAGGAGCTGGTTGATACCACGACTTTCTGTGCTGACAAAACTGCTAGCAGCAGAGGTTTCTTTTCCAAATACATCAATAATTTTATCTCTGTATAGCGACATTTTTGTGAGGAAACCCAACTCGCTTGATAGATTTGTTCTGATCTTAGCTCAGGATGTCTTTCTACTTTTTACTTACAATGGTTTATGAAAGAAAGTTGCTAATATCAAAACAAACACAATAATTTAATTAAGTGAAATGCATACTTCTTTGAATTGTGATCATGACTGACTTGGCTAATGAAGAAAAGCTGTGAGCTGGTTTCTTATCATATTTTTGATCACTGTTTAGCTGTCCTGTGAGGCACGGTCCAATCAATTTTACTGCTTTTATCTGAGTCTGTGCAGAGTATTACGGTGCACTCGATAAGTTATCAGTTAAAATCATCAATAAACAATGCTGAAACAGTGCCAGAGGACGCAACACAGACCCATGAATCATTACTTCCACAGTGTTTTAAAAAGGATGTGAATTATATTAGTGAATTGAATGTAGTCAACTGGATTTATGGAGCAGTTGTAAAATATCTAAAATGTGAGTATTAGTATTACACTGAGATGAATAATTGCACAAACCAGCTCTTTTCTGTAGCTTCTTCCTCTTCTTGCCCGCAGCCAGGAGTGCCTGACCCTGCAGCAGCGGGTCCACGTTCAAGATATTCTTTAAATCCGGAGCCTTGGATGCAGCATCCGTTGCAGGTACCTCTGTCTTTTTCTGTGATTTTATTTCCACTGTCATTGGTCCAAACTGTTTTGAATGGAACAAAATAGCAGAAATAAAACGTGAGATGAATAACAGCATTCACAGTCATCATATTCTATAATTCACCCACAATTTAAGGCTACTGCTGCTTCTCACCTCTGGATCCTGATCATCCTCCATAGATTCAGTTTCCTCTTTCGAGGATGATGCTTCCACTGATCCTCCTTCCAAGCCCAGATCACAGTGCAACTCGCCCTGGCCTCCCTGTGTCATCCCAGTGGTTTCCATGCAGAATCCCATTTGAATGTCAGGACAAGACGACTCTGGACACAGAGGAAAGCACAAACCATTTAGTCTAAAGTTATCTGAACAGGTTTACATGATCAAATCATGTGGTTTTATATTATCATCATGTTCCATTTAATTTGCCTGACTGTGATACTGTTAATTATAACTTGCTTACCTGCAAGAACCTCCTGATTTCCCTTTTCCAGCTCGTCCCAGTCAAAGGCTTTTCCCATTTCTGTAACGATCTCAGCACTGACGTGTGTAGGAAGAGTGTGTGTCTCTGGAGGGTGTGTGAAGTAGCTAATCCTTCCCCTAAGAAACATAACTTCGTGAATTTAACAGTGCTTAAACTGAGCCGTTGCTTCAATATCATTTCTAAAACTTAAAAAAGCTATACCAACCCGGTCCAGTCCATTAGTACACTCTTGGCTGCCTTGTCAGTGTCCGGCAGCCCCCCCTTCCTCAGTTTGCCTTGCCGACGGGCGAGCAATGCCAAGAACTCCAGAGCTGTATGAAAGTCTGGGACACTGTAGTGCTCCATGATCTGTGTTTCCAAAGAAAAAAAACCCCAAAGCCATTGTTTGAACTACTTATTATTCAGTGCTCAGTACAGTTGCAGTGTTATCATTCAGTACAGTTGCTGAAGAGGTAGCATGACCTACTTGTGCCTTGTTGCACCTTCTGAGGATGGCTTCCACGGGTGGAAGGGGATCAACAAGCTGTTCGATTTTAACACAGTTGCGAAGAATCATTGCGGCGTCTGTCGTTGATGTTGCCATGACAATACCGGGACAGTCCAGAAGCTTTATGTGTTTGTCCAAATGTACCTCCTGAAGACACCTGAAATCCAGAAAACCCATCAAGAACACCATGGCAGGATTAATATGCACATCATAATTGTGTCTTGTTAGACGAACATATAAAGTTGGCACAGTTGCCAAGTATGCCCTCACTACACTGAGGTTGCATCCCTGTGTGTGTGTGTGTGTGTGTGTGTGTGTGTGTGTGTGTGTGTGTGTGTGTGTGTGTGTGTGTAAAAACGGAATTATTTTTTTATTTTTATAGCTGAGATGATGAAGTTGAATGATGGAACATTAATTAATTACCATAATGCAACTTGTTTTTCACAAGTACCTACTTCACAAATGTGAACATTAATTAGCTTTCCTAAGCTGTAATAATAAAAACTCTAAATCTGGGCAGGGGCTGTGACTCATGTTCACTCACTTTTCAGGAAACAAAGCAAGACTTAAAGCAAGTTGTCAAATTTGTGCAAGTGTTTTGATCCCCACCCCCCAAAAAAGTTAAAAAATAAAAAAAAAAAAGCACAAAAATGCTGATGTACCAAAAATTACGTGAAACTCACAATAATAGATGTATTAACTTAATATTTTAAAAAAAATGTCAGAAAGTTCAATAAACATTCCAGTATCAAAAAGTTTCAAACATTCTAATTTTCTGGAAATCATTTCACGCTTCAGGGTCACAGAGTAAATCTAGAAAACAAGTGTAGGCATGCAGGTTGAGCATGTTAATGTGTACTTACTTGGTGACACCTGGTGTGGCTCCAACATTACATGCTCGTGCTCGTTTCAGACTGTTGATCAAACTACTCTTTCCAACATTAGGAAAACCTGCAAAACATTAATGGAACGAAAAAAAAATCCTATTTACTCGAAAGAAGAAAACCTGGTACAAAAACAGCAGTGTGTAACCTTTGATTCAATCTGGCCTCGAAGACATTTTGTGTAGACAGATTGTCTGTAGCCAGCTTATTGGTGCTCTCAGAATTTCAGGGCACGGCACTTACCTACAACACCTACAGTGATGGCTGTCTTTATATCCAGGTTGCGGCAATAGTTGCCCAGTAGCTTCATCAAGCAGTCTGCTCCAATACAAGCACTGGTGCTGAGAAGCTCTGTGGTGGCTTGTGTCACTGGAACGTTGCTGCGTTTCTTCCCATTGCAGGAGACATAATGTGCAGAGTTCATGCCGGAGTCACATTTAAAAACAAAGTACAGCCTGGATTTAATCTTTATTTCTAGATAATTAGAGCATAACTGCTTCACTACTCACCAAGTTCTTAGTCTGCTGCTGAGTAGATGCTTTAAAAGCCACAGTGGGGAACTCATTTCTAAGATACTTTATCCACTTTTCCACTATTTCTTTTGACACCAAATCTGGAACCAAAGTAAAGCCATTTACTATTTTAATAAACAAATGAGATGTGTACAATGTTAGTGGCCTTCTTACCAATTTTATTGAGGACTAAAACTATCTTCTTGTTCGTTCCACTCTGAATGACCGCCTGTTCCACCTGAGGACATCTGCAGCCAAGAGGGTCACGCGCGTCCAGTACCTCCAGAATCACATCAGAGGCCTCCACAACCTTAAAAAGCAGCATGTCAAATAACGCTCATGTCAACTCCTCTCTCATCCATCATGTTTCTAATAGCCCTTTTTGACTAGTACCTACTTGGCTTGACTCAAGTTCAGTCATTTTCCATAACAAGCAGGTACCAGCTAATGTGCACGTGGTCATTTTAGCAACATGGAGTGAAAGTCCCATGACATCATTTGTATGTGACACAAACACCACAACAAAGGAGGACGTGAAGCCGATGGTAAAACTCCTGCTTGGTGTATGTCGTTTTGCCAGTCCCTGGGATCACAGTGTTGTTTTTTGCGTAACCAATTCCCTCATTTTCGAGTTCGAAAACTGACAGCATTGATTTTTGTGAAAGAGACTATTTCATGACTCTTCGAGTGATGTCTCTGACTAGCCAATTAGTGGCATGCAGTCTGTTGATGTCACATTTTCGAATCACCTCAGATTGCTTGGAAGCCAGGTCGAGAACCCAGCTACTACTGCTGAAGTACCTAGTACTACCACCTAATGGAAAACCCTAAAAACCGAGCTGAGTCGAGCCAAGCCGACCAGAGTATGTACTAGAGGAAACAGGCTATAAGATACTGAATGATACAGAGTGATTTTAAAGAATGTCAAAATTTCATTTAGTCTAAAATAAGAAGATTAATTCTTGTTGTGGTCCATATACAGACCAGTGTGCAGTGCAATTACATACCTTTTTAAATTCTCTGTAATATGCTTTCCTTGAATTCTCATTTTCAAAGTTGACATGCTTTTCTAAACTCTGCATCGCTGTCTCCTGTGAGGACAAAGAAGAACATGGTAATGACCACAGCAGCAAACTGTAAAGTATGCAGTTAAAGTATCGTGCTTACCCTCTGCTCAAACTCCCTTTGTCGCTGAAGGATGTCATTCTG